AATATTAATGTGATATTTAATTTTAAAAATTTTTTAATATAATATATAATTATAAATTTATTAATTAAATGATGTTTAAAGAATTATTTATTTATTACATATTATGATTTTTAATTAATTATATTAAAATTATATATATCACATTAATTAATAAATTTATAGATTTTATTTAAAAAATTTTTAAAAATTAAATATCATATTAAATATTTAATTATAATTTAAAAATTATTTTTTAAATTAATTTTTAAAAAATATAAAAAAGAGTTTTCTTTCAAATAAAAGAATTAAAAATAACATATCCCCTATCTAGGAGTTTGGGCAAGTGGTGAGGGAAAGTCTCATCTTTTAAGCCAACTTTTGGGGCTGAGAAAGGTTAAAATTACCTAACAGTTGTAGCACATTTAAGTTGTCTAAAGCTAACGAGATCTTAATTTAGTGGTAAAAATTTTTTAAAAAATTTTAAGTTTAAATTTTATTATATGTAAATTTAATTATTTAATTAAATTATAATTAATTAATTATTTAATAATATAATAATTAATTATATAAATAAAATATTTATTTATAAATATAACTTTAAAAAAAATTATGGAAGTCATCTTATAGCAATTGAGGAAATCACTGGTGATTAGAAAAGTCTATCTCATAAGATAGATTTTGGAATTGAAAAATCCCAAAATCACCAAACTGGACGCTCCACCAACCATGTATATTTTTTTCATCGTCATGGATTTCTTTCTCTGAAGGACTTAAATATTCACTTTTCCATTTTCATAATTAATTCTACGAACTTTCTTGTTGCGACCGAGTCAACCTTACACAATTTCAACAAATGGATCAAAAGTTTTAGACAAACCTTTTTCCATGTTCATACTTAATGTCCAGTTCCAAGGAAATATATTCCTGCAGCCTTCACAATGCAATGCTATTCACAGCTAAATTTACTTGAAATTCCTACGTTTTTTCTTCCCAATTGTGCTTCTGGTCTTGTTTTAGAATTGAGCCTAATTTACTTTAATCTTCTTCCCATTTTTTAATTCAAATATTTTTAATTAAAATTATTAATCACAAAAAAAGAAATATTCCAATCAAACTCCTTAAATGGAAGTTACGTCTGTATTTTTTATTAAGTTGAATATTTAAGTGGAGATCAAGTGATAGAAAGAGGAAAATTTTTTCCCTTCTTGTAAAACTCACCACATAATCACCCAAGAACTGATCAAGAAGAATGTAATCTAAAAAAAATATTGTTTATGCGGAGCTCAGATCTAAGAACGTTTTAAAAAAGATAAAAAAAAATAGTTAGAGGTAAAAGTAAAAAATATTTTATATATTTATATTTTAACATGTAAATTAAAATAAATGAGGTCGATAAAAGAATAATATAAAAAATTAGAGGTAAATTAAATTTATCTTAATGATAATATTTATATTTATAAATAAAAAAATAAATTATCAAAAAATAATAATGATATGATCGAATTAATATGATACTAAATATATCAAATCAAATCGATATAAATATTAAAATTATCTATAATTATCTGTCAAAAACTCCTAATAAAAAAATTATTATACTTTTTTAATTATCAAATACATCCAACAAATATGTTTAATGATGGTTATCAGGTAACTTGCTGTTGCAGTAACGAAGTCTAAAGGGGAAGAACCAACCAGAGACTATAGGCATCCGATTTGAGATTTTTTTTTATCAATTATTTCATATATATTGCAATATGATTACTTGCCCAACTATGAATAAGATCTATAACCCATCAATCAATTTATTATTATTAAATGGTTAATGCCGCTAGAATAGTCAACATCAGCATCATTATGATATTGGAAAGCATTTCATCTTCCACTGTTAGGCTTTTGATCTATTAACTTCGGGCATTCCCATTAAAGACTGCAACAATACTCAATATGTGGTTAAAATGCACCATCAAAAAGTAGCTTGGCTTACATCTTAGAGAAAAAAACATTTAATTGTGATTTAACTTTTGGAGTTTTTTTATTTTTATTTTTAGTTACTTTTTTCTGTCAACTAAATTTTGTTTACCCAAGTGAAAAATAACTTTTCGCTTATATGAATTTTAAATATTTAGATTATTATTTATTATATATTATCTTAAATATTATTAAATAATCTTATTAACATTTGCTGTCATTTTATCTATAGGTCACATGACATCTCTAAGTAGCAGGTCACAAAACAAACATCCATGTGATATTAAAAAATTAAATGAATATACTTAAAAAATAATTTTTATAACCACATGGTAGAAGGCAAGGGCGGGAATCTGGGCGTAAAAAAAAAAAAAGAAACTGAAATGCATGTGTCCCAAAATAGCCTAAAGAGCTCGCACTACGAAATAAATTTTTTAATATTATATTAGTTTAATAATTTGAATCTATTAGTTACGAAGCCCAAATCTTAGAACAATTAAACAAGAAATTTACTTGTTAGTCAAGTTTTAGTGCACAACAACAATAATTTCCTTCTTTCTTCCCGTTTTTTTTTTTTTTTTTTTTTATTTAAATTTCTTTGTTCTTTCACTCATTCGTCATAACCAGCAGCAGACAGTAACCCGACAGGCAGACACCATGCATTTAGCGTATTCAGATTGAGTTGCTCTTACTTTCAAATTTTATATAAATAAATTAATATTTTTTAAAAATTATTTATTAATAAAATTATATCATTTAATTTCTTTTATTAATAAAATAATTTAATTTAATTTATTGATAATATATAAAATTTATATATTAATAATATATTAAATATAAATTTTTAAAAAAATAATTATATGTTAATCCCTTAATCTACTTATAAAATAAAAAAAATTAAATTATTTATGTATAAAAATAAACTCAAAAAGCTTTGTTCCGTGTTAATGTGATTTAAGTTTTTTAATGTTGATTGGTAAGTTTATAAATGCAATACAGATATTTTGATAGGCCCATCACGATCTGCAATTATGGCACTGCCTAACCATATTTTGAACTTATTTAATGCTTTTCAAGGTGTCAATTCAAGAGCCACCCCTATCATCCTCTTGGCAGGCTAGTGGAGACACCACATTGAGTTGTCCCCTTATTTATTAAATTTAAATTCATATACATATCAATGTTTTCAATTTGATTTTGATTTCTAAAAGATAATTTTATATTTATAAACAAAAATTTTACCTTATAACTTGCGTTACATTGAAGCATGATCTATTCTACTATATTTTTGCTTAATTTGTATAAAATTATCATAGCACATTTGAAATTATAACTGGTGTCATTAATTTTAAAATTTAATTAATTAATTAATTAAATTATAATAATCATAAATGCTGCAATTGAAAGTACAGTAGAGCTATACCAAATTTTTCTACATTAAATGTAAGCATAAAATCCCATCGTGCAATGGTGAGATGTGCAAAGCTACCTTCTTCAATTGCCCAAAGGACCCGCATGTTTTGAAGTTTATACCTCCAAAAGACTTGACTTATTGACTAATGAGTCATGACAGTTTGACACCGTCAATCATGGGCTAAAGAAACAACAACAATTACCATCCCAACTCCTATAAATTGTGTCGCAGCTCATGCCAAAAATGCACCAAATACAATTCAACTTTATTATTTTTTGTCACCAGTGTTGGGATTTTGTGTATGAAAAATATGAATAGGTTTTCCTTTGTTTCCTTCTGTGCAGTGGCGCTGGTGGTGCTGCTATTTTCAGGTGAAACTCGCACGGCGGAAGCAGTGACATGTGACGCCTCGCAGCTCAGCCCCTGCTTGGCGGCGATCACGTCTTCAAAGCCTCCATCAGCCACTTGTTGCAGCAAGCTGAAGGAGCAGCAGCCATGCTTTTGTGGGTACCTTAAGAACCCAACTCTTAAACAGTTCGTCGACAATCCCAACTCCAAAAGGGTTGCTAGCACTTGTGGAGTTGCATATCCTAAATGTTAAAAAGTTTGCTTGATTAAAATATTTATTGGCAGCATAGGATATTTTTGCTGTCAAGTACTGATCTGAATAAATAAATGAATAATGATGAGATGTGATAAGATAAAATAAAATTAATGTAATTATATAAATTTTACTTGTTTAAGGTGGAAGAAAGCAGTGACTTTTAGTATTTACATGTGCTCTGATGAATTATAATTAATGTTTCTTGTGGGAATATGGTTTATATTTTTTTATTTTTATTTTTCTTTGTTTTCTTTTTCATCTTTGATTTGAGATGAAATCTCAAACAACAATTTGTCATGATTCAAGGACATTTTTGTAGAGCAAATGATACAAGAATAAAAAACTAAACCACGTTTTAATTAAGGTTAAGTAGAAGATTAAGGAAATTTAAGGTTCTATTATCTCGTTAATCATACTTACATACTTTTTCATACATAAAGAGAGATCATAATTTAAGGATAAAAAAAAGTTGGAGGCAGATATGAGCAACTTGATGAAAACATTAGATCGGATCAACTACCATCTAGTCAATGACGATAGACAAAATGCTAATCAACTAAAGCTAAGGCTAATTGCTACATCCAATTTAAGGACTACTTTGCATTATTTAACAATCCAATTTATGGCATACATTATGTATGTTTTGCATTTAAATTTATAATTCATGATTTCTATTATATATATATTTTGCAAATTCTTTTTTGTTATTTAACTTTATATTTACGCATGTTGAAAGTATTGCATATGACAGTTCAAAATCTCCATACTTCCAATAATTTCATTGATCTTATGAAAATTCTTCATTAAATTTAGTATGCAAAGGAAACAAAGAGAAATCATTATTAATTTCTTTTAGGGTGTGCTTGGTATAATGGAAAAGTAAAAGGATGAATAGAGGGAATGGAAATGCAGAAAGAAAAATAATTTTGAATGTGGTTTGTATGAAAGAAAAGTGAGAAAAAAATAGGAAAGATGTCAAATTTTCACACTTATTCACAAATACAAATCATTCTAAATCAAAAAGAAAAGAAGAGAGAAAATGGGAAAGGTGTGAGTATTTGTTGTATATTTAAAAGATTGCCTATAATATTTAAATTTTTTATTTTTTTTCTCAATTATAAAAGGTTATGATAGTAAATTAATATAATTTTTATGTTCTTTCCTTTCATTTTTCATTAATTCTATCAGACAATGGATAGAAATAAAATACATTTTTTTTAATTTTTTATTTTTCCGATCAAGCACAATACATATCAATGTAAAGAAAAAAAAATGTTTTTCATCTTTCTACTTTTCTTTTCTTCCAATTTTTATCTTTCTATTTTTTATCTAGCCTTGAAGTTTTTACAATCTTAACCTAACTTTCAATAATAAAGAAGAAAATTTGAAGGAAAAATAAAAGGGTGAACTAATATTGATTGAAGATAATATTAATTTAAGAAAAAGAAGAAAAAAAAAGAAAAGTAGGTCAATGAAAAAAAAGAAAGTAGGTCAATGATAAAATGTAAAAAAAAAAAAATCTTTTAGGCTAAAATCTAAATTTATCCCAATATTTTAATGTAAAAGTTAAGATGACCGAACAAAATTACTAAAAAAGAATATGCAATAATAAACCTACACATTTAATTTGGGTAAAAAATTTAAAGTTAGCAGATATCAAAATCGCTATCTGGTAAGAAAGCAAATAAAGATTCTAAAGATGTTTCACAAAATTTTCATCTATAATTATTTTAAAATTGAATCAAAATTAAGATAAAGTATTACATAAGTTATTCCTACTAAGATAAATTATTACATAGGTCACTCCAACTAAGTCAGCTATATGCTCAACCAATAATATTACTCCATGTCAACATTTGTTTTTCGACATCAAACTATAAAGAAAAGGTCAAATTATGCAATTAGTTCTTGCATTTATATGAAATTTAAACTTTAGTCCCTATACAATAATTTACAGAAATTAGATCCTCATATTAGTTTAATTTAACAATGTTAGTCTAATTGATAACAGTATTACTTGATTTTCGTTAAATTAGCTGACGCATCTGTTGACCATGTTGATGTGGCATTGATTACAATAACGTGTTTAAATGAACAATATTAATTAATTTCTTGAAACTTATGTGGGTTTTTTCAACGTGTATATATTTTGTCCACCTTTACTTCTAAAATAAAAAAAAAAACAAAAAAAATCAAATTACTAAAACCCAAGCTGAAAAAAAAAAAAAAACTAAATCGTTATACAAAAAACTTAGGAAAATCAAGTTTATGTTATTATATTCTCCAATCTATTTTTTTTCCCAAATCGTTTTAGTGAAATCGTTCTCCAATCATATACTTTTTCACTCTCTTATTTTTCTCAAATCTGAATTAAAACCCTAAGTTCAACAAAGAAAGGCCTAAATTGGTTTAGTTTTTGACTATCGCCATTTTACCCAAGTTTGTTACTGTTGGGCTTATCGATTTAGATTTAGGGTTTTGGGTTTTTTTTTTTTTTTTCATTTTTAAGCATAAGGTTTGACTTCATTTACATTTAAGGTTTGACTCCACTTTTGCCACTTTTGTTGTTAAAATAACTTAGGTTGTTACCTTGTTTGTATGTATGTGATTTAAAATCTTCGATGGTTATAACAGGTGTTTGGTAATGGTATGTGGCCCTTTTGTATTGTCTTTCAATGTGACCTTGTTTCAAGTGTTGTTTGTAATGTTAGAAAAGATTTTTACTATTTCTGCATTTGTTGCATAATAGTTATTGCTAATAATATTTGTGTTTGTAATTGATGAAAATAAGTGTTGTTTGCCATATGCCATGTTTATTTAATAATTTATGTAAATTATCTATTTATTTATGTTATGAACATATGTTTATCATTTAGTATGAGTTAGGAATTATGCAAAATCAGGTACCATCATGAAGAAAATTTCAAAAGAGCTCGTACAGTTGCTAAATATATGAATAGGTATGTAAATGAGTTTGATGAGGAACTTGATCGAATTTGTTAGTGAACAATACTAGGAACATTAAAGTTTTTAGGTTATGATTTGTCCAATAGGATTAAATTTTACTATGTAGAGATGGGTAAAACATTAGGTACAAAATTGAAGTTGTTAATGGAAGCAAATGAAAGTATGAGAGATTTTGTGGTCATTTAAGGTTGGGTAAACCTGTAAATATATATATGTAGAATATTTGGCTTGTCAAATTGATAGTGATATTCCAAATGCTCTACTTGAATCAACTAAGGTTGGTAAAGGTGTAAATAACTTAAATGATGATGAGGTGATTGTGATTAAAAATATTGAGCCTATTAGACAACCTACACTTACTTTAAGGTAACATTGGTATCATTTTCAAGATCATCATGGTAACTTAATCACTGAAGTGATCTTATTACTCGTAATTTGGAATCACTTTGTTTATATAAGAATCATTAATTCTTAATAATTAAAGATCACTGTGCTTTGTATTACTAAAATCAGACATTATTTTGTTTGAAAGTATCAAAATAATTATGAACATTATAATAGTTACTCAAGTTAATGATTTCATTATTATTTAAATATAATAATTGTAGACACCCCAATCTGTCTGGAGTTCTACTCAATCTGGTTTTTGTTAATTAAAAAAATAATAAATAATAAAAATGAAAAAAATTGACAGGTTAAATTTGCGTGAAACTATGTGTGTGAGGAGTTTAAATTGGATTTAAATACTGAAATTGAAATTAAAAGGGAATTGAACTCTTTTAGGGTATAGGGTTCTTTTGATCAGAACCCTATAAATAGATGCTTCCACGGTACATATAAAACACACACATAGAAACATAGAATATAGAGTATAAAACAGATAAAAAATTAGAGAAAAATCAAAAAATGCCCACGAAAGGCAGTTAAAAATTTGTTGGAAGGATTTTAGGGTGAAAAAGGAAATTTTTTTGGAAATTTTCTAGAAAATTTCCATTTTTTGGTTAATTTTTTAACTTCGGTTGAATTTTATGATGAATTTTTCAATACTGGTTAAATTTTTTGGTGAGTTTCCAGCCATATTCCCAGATTTTGGCAAACTTCCCAGTTTTAGACTGTTGCTTTCTAAAAATCGATGAACTTTTCGACAAACTTCTAATGAATAACCCAGATTCTGACAAGATTTTTTAAAATTCGATGAAATTCAACCAGTGTTCTTGAGGGGTTTTAGAGAGAGAGAGAAAATGGGGTGAAGAGAGAGAAAAAAAGGAGGTCTGAAGGAAAAGCCAAGATTTAGGCTTATATACCTTTTGGAAACAACGTTATTTTAGCTTAAGAGACCTATCAGGATCTGCGCATTTTCATTCAAGTGATTCGACCTATAGTGCTGACCCACTTTTGACCAATGTACTAGCCGATTCCTTGAGTCTAGCTGAGTCGAGCCGTCAAGCTATGTCTCCTGAGTCACTTTTTGTGCCTTTAGCCGAGCCATATCAACCGCCAAGCTAAGCCGTTTCTATTTTTTTTGATATTTTTATTTTATTTAGTATTTTATTTATGTGTTTGTTTTTTTTAGTATTTTTGCATGATTAAATTTGAAAAAAAAATAAAAATAATTTTTTTTGAGAATAAATATTAATTTTTCAACAATGAAATTTATAGAAATTTCAAATGGTAAATTTTTATAAAATTCATAGGTAAAAATTTTTTTATGAATTTATCCCAAATGGTGAAATAATTTAGATAAAGTTTCAATAACAATAATTAATATTTATTTTCAAACAAAAAAAAATAAAAAAATAAAAAATTTAGAATTAAATACAAATAAGTCAGTCAAAGAATACGTCCAAAGATAGATGGATATAGTTTCTCAAGTGCAACCCCCTTTAACTGAAAAAAAGACCACAGTGTTGTTTGTCAACACTTTAAAATCTTTCTATTATAAAAAGATGATAGAGAATGTAATAAAAAATTTTGTCAATATGGTGATCTTAGTCGAAATCATTAAAAATGCCATTAAAAATGGCAAGTTG